CTGGTTGGGACTCATCAGTTCGAGATAGCCTGAGTTGGGCTGGAACTCAGAGCCTAGTGGCTCATGGTTGACACCATAAGCACTATGCCACTGAGATCCACGAGCAACGCTTGGTCCAGCGGAAACGAATGCAAAGTTGGGCATGGAGAATCCGCTGGTGGTTGGGTTACTACAAGCAACTTCTATTGAGGCCTCGGTTCACTTGAGGTGGACCTCGGTCATTCCGATCTAAAAGACCGTAAGTAAAATAGAAACATTATAGTGTTGCTCAAACCAGCACTGGCACCCGAAGACCGCGGTTTCGTCCTGGTTGGGACTCATCAGTTCGAGATAGCCTGAGTTGGGCTGGAACTCAGAGCCTAGTGGCTCATGGTTGACACCATAAGCACTATGCCACTGAGATCCACGAGCAACGCTTGGTCCAGCGGAAACGAATGCAAAGTTAGGCATGGAGAATCCGCTGGTGGTTGGGTTGCTACAAGCAAATTCTATTGAGGCCTCGGTTCACTTGAGGTGGACCTCGGATGACCGAGGTCCCAACTTTGCATTCGTTTCCGCTGGACCAAGCGTTGCTCGTGGATCTCAGTGGCATAGTGCTTATGGTGTCAACCATGAGCCACTAGGCTCTGAGTTCCAGCCCAACTCAGGCTATCTCGAACTGATGAGTCCCAACCAAGACGAAACCGCGGTCTTCGGGTGCCAGTGCTGGGTTGAGCAACACTATAATGTTTCTATTTTACTTACGGTCTTTTAGATCGGAATGACCGAGGCCTCAATGGAGGTTGCTTGTAGCAACCCAACCACCAGCGGATTCTCCATGCCCAAACAGCGTTTTGTTTTACTTCGCGATTTCACCTTAGCTGCTGTCGTTAAACGAGCTGAACATAAACGGTCGTTCACCGGATTCCAATCTGCCAACAATGACTGCCTTGGAGCTTATTATGACACCTACACCAGCTTGACCCGTGCGTGCCGCATCGGCATCTCCGGATGCGTGCAATCAATAACAAGAGGATAAGTCGGGTGCAGTTAATTCAATAACCCCGTTAGGGTCATTAATCCTAGTTTCGGACACACAACACACATCAACACCCAGTGTGTCCAAGGTGCGTGCGAGTGCAGCCTGCTGATCTGTTTGTCTTAGAGTGCGGACGTTGAATGTCGCCATGGAAACGGGATAGCGTGGCCTTATAATGGAATTTTGCCGATAGGCGTCCGATAGGTGCTGTGGGATGGTGGCTGCAGATGGTACTACTCCAGTAGCACTTCGGTTGCTGTCAATTAAGCTGGGAATTATAGAAGGAAGGTTAGTAATGGGAGGCGGGATGGGAGTAAGAGCAAAAGGTGGAAAAGAAGAAGGGAGGCGCCAGCAGTAGCATGTTTTCGCTTATCCCCCCTGCTGTATACAGCAGATAAGGTGACCCTTGATGATCTGCGCGACGGCTGATGCAGGATGAAGTTTGTGTTTGAAGAAAATGTCATGGTTGTATGTGGGCTGGGATACTGCCAGGGCGCCCAGACCTAGACAGGTGGACGATTAGGGTTCTCATCCAAAGCCTTTGGCTCAAAAGCCTGTCCGCAAGGCAGCGAGGAGGTGGCAGTGATTTAGTTTTACAGAAAGGGACGCCATCCCATTTCAAACCCCCAACCTGTAGGACCAGGAGACTGACTTTGTCTGACCTCTCACCATTGACCAACCTGGTAGGAGTAGCTCTCAAGATGCTCGGAGGCATCACCCAGTATAGCTCAATGGGTCAGTGTGGTACGCAAACCGTTGCACCACGTTAAGGTCCAGTCCCGTTGCGACGGGGTCGTGGAGGCAGGCATGGACGTTGAGCCACTGGCTTTTTCGCCAGCAGAACGAAAGAGAAATCGGAACAGAACTGCGCGTACTTATCAGGCAGGTTCGAAAAGCGTCAAGAATGACGGGACAAACAAGCTGGAGCGTAAGACGTACGCTACAGTTGCTTCAACGTCGTCTGATAACTTCCGCCCAGTCTCGTTTCCTGCGGCTAAGCCGGTTGCGGTTCATGTAAATTCCAAAACCCGTTGGGTGAATACACCCCGTCGAGGTGATTCTTTCATGGATAGCAGCGTGATATTCCGTAACGCAGTGGAATCCACTGCTGCACTTCCTGCCGAACGTACATTAGACGACCTACAGTGGTTTAAGATGTGCGTAACGAAGCTTCTTCCACCTGGGTTTCCGTTGTTACTGTCAGGAAACTGACTAGATTGGTTAACGTCCCAGTTAACGCCCCAAACCCTCGACCGCGCTTACTTCGGGTAGTCCTATCCACCCCGGAGGAACGCAACGCGCTGTTGCGGTTTGCCTTCAAATTGAAGGGTACTAATGTTAGCGTTCAGCCAGACCTCCCATAAGCGGATAGGCTGGAGCTAAAAGAGGCCATTAAGGACCTCAAAACCAGGCGAGCGGCCGGTGAACAAGGTCTCCGGTTGGTGGGTTTTCTGTTGGTCAGCCGGCGGTCTGTTTCCCATCTAGCAGTGCCAGTACTGGTAGCGCACGACCCAGGGCTGGCCATTACGACTACCTTCAGATAGTGCTAAGCAATGTGCGGAGCCTAAGGAATAAGATGTGCGAGATAGGTCTGCTTGTAGATGGGCCTCATCCCGATATACTTGCATTCACTGAAACGTGGCTGTCTCGAGACATCACGGACGATGAAGTACGTCTGTCTGGCTACGCACTATTTAGATGTGATCGATTCGTTGGCCGACAAGGCGGGGGCGTTGCTATTTGCGTTAGGTGTGAACTTGACGTTTCACACACCTACATGTTTCAGTCAGCAGATAAAACTGTCGAAGCGCTGTCGGTAGTGATTAACACTCCCTCAGCTCAACTTACAGTCATACTTGTGTATAGAAGCCCTGGGAGTGCGTCCAAAGAGGTGCTTGACTTTATTCGCTCCCAATCCACAAACAGGTGTTTGATACTCTGGGACTTCAATCTACCAGAAGTTTACTGGGCTGATCTTTCTTACAACTTTGCAGAAGGTACTTTCGGGGCAGATCTACTTGAGCTTACACTGCAAGTACCGTTGCATCAGTTCGTGGACCTCCCCACTAGGTACATGGATGCCCAACTACCGTCTATTTTGGATCTAGTGTTTGCCAAGTCACTAGACTTCGTAGGGGACATCACTTACAGCTCTCTCTTAGGTGCTAGTGATCATGTTTGTTTATCATTCAGATGCAGTCGGACCAGGCCACACCAGAGCATTGCTAAGCCATTTCCAAACATATGGCGTGCTAACTATCAGGCAATGCGTACCAAGGCTGCTGGGATTCTTTACGAAATCTCGGTGGTTGATACAGTTCAGGCGGCCTTGGATAAATTTAAATCTTATATCGCGGAAGTGTCTACTCCCTATATCCCGCTTGAGAGGAGAAAGGAGATACCGGCGTGGCCGCTGTGGATAGATACCACTGGCAAGCACCTGCTCCAGAAGCGTTCTAGGTGCTGGAGGACCTACCGTGCGGCTCCATCAACAAACACCTATGGTAGATACCGCGAGGCTAGAAATAGGTGTAAACAACACTTAAGGAAAGCTCGGCTGTTGTACGAAAAGGAATTGGCTGATGGAGCTTCGGAAAATCCGAAGTTCTTCGCTTATGTTAAGAGACGCTGTGGTTCAACTTCGGTAATCACAAATTTGATGGGGGCTGATGTAACTCGTGCGTATGCGGACTCAGATAAGGCTCATGTACTTGGGGAACGGTATGCAGGGGCTTTTGTACGTGAGGCCACGTTGACTAGCGTTGAACTTGTCCCCAGGGTACCTGAGGGTTTTTATTTAGCTAAGTTTACTGTGGTGGAAACGCAAGTCCTTAAACTGCTGCAAGAACTGAACCCTTCCAAAGCAGTTGGACCTGATTCAATTCACCCGAAGCTTCTGCATGAGTTGGCGGTGGAAGTAAGTGGGCCGCTGACGATGGTGTTTTAGAAATCACCTGACAGCTGTACATTACCTTTTGAATGGAAGGAGGCTGTCATCTATCCTATCTTCAAAAATGGCGACAGGAGTCTGTCAGCCAATTATAGGCCAGTTAGTCTGACTAGCGTCGTGGTCAAACTGCTTGAAAAGCTGGTGAGAGCATTGTTGGAATGTCACCTGAATAGATTTAATCTACTCAGTAGTGCACAACACGGGTTCCGGAAGGGTTTTCGTGACTTACGAGTTTGTTGGTTGCTCGTAAACCTTGGGCCGAGGCAGTGGACAATGGCCACGTGGTGGATGTGCTTTTCGTAGACTTCTCGAAAGCATTTGGTAAGGTACCGCCCTTGAGGCTATCAGAAAAGCTGTCCTACGGCGTATCCGGCCGCGCCCTTCACTTTGTATTTCACTGTTGCAGGGAACAGAGCAGTGTGTACGTGTGGGTCGCAGCTTATTCCTTAGGCAAGCGGTCCTTAGCAGTGTCCCACAGGGCTCGGTCCTTGGACCGATGCTGTTCTCCATCTACGTAAACGATCTCCCTGGAGAGCTTGGGGTATCATCCCTATTGTTTGCTGATGACCTTAAGTTATGGAATGTTGTAATTGTTCCTGGGGGTTCTGAGGCCATACAGCATGCACTGGACAGACTCTGGGACTGGTCTACTTTGTGGCTACTGCCCATATATCAGGCTGTGTTCCGTCCTTCGTATAGGAGCAACTTTCCCACCTTCGAGCTGCGTACTCGGTGCGGTCGAACTCCTCCTTTTCTCCAACCAGATAGACTGTAGCGCCTTGGCGAATGCTACACAAGAAAACCGTAGCCCGGTAAGACAGAAGACGGCGGGATATAAAGATTGTCTTGAGAAAATAGCTGTGTACAATAGCTATGTGAATGTAGCTTGAGGACAATGGGAGAAAATGGTGAAGCAATGAGTAACACCACGTAGGAGCGCAACAGCCGGCAACGCGCGGGCAAGATGGCGGTCCTCGTTCAAAATCACAGTCCAGTATATATAGGCTTTGGACGGGTGCAAAGTAAAACAAAATGTGTACAAGTCCGAACGTGATGTTTGATGGAGTAAAATGTCGTGGTCACTACACAGGCCTCCCCCTAGAAGGCCGAGGGACGAGGACTTCGATCGCTGTTGGCTTGCGAAGGTATAAAGGCAGAATCACAGGAGTTCGGTTGTATTTGGCTTATTTAATCTTCTTGTGGATTGGAATGCATCATCGGTGGGCCGTCCCAGCGGGCACACCGGACTACAAAAAGCTGGATAATCCAGAAAAAGGGCCGGTAGGACCTTTCACCGCTGCTGAAGGACGGTGCGCTTGAGAGAGGTCACTCCCCCCACCGCATTCCAATCCACTGCCACAACGAAGCTGAAATCCTGTTCGTACTGGCGAGCCGTGGGGGGCCAAAAACAACGAGCCAGGCACACGAGCAGCCAAAGCCAGGAAGGCGAGCCAAATTGAGCCAAGCAGACCACGATCCAAAGGCCAACGTGGGCGGGGGAGACAACAAAGCGTTGGGGGTAGACTAAAGCATCCAAACGACCAAACAATTGAGGAACAGCCAACCATTGAACGGACGGACCCAAACGTGCCAGCCTCATGACTTTACCTGATAGATGGGGGGAAAAAGCTCGGGGAGACAGATTCAGATATTTACGGAAAAGCATAATACAAACGATGAGAGAAAATGAAAAAGATTCATGAGGTGTGGATGAGTTCGACAAAATCGGAGAAACGAACAGGTTTACGAACTCTTCTACCGTGACTGGTATTAGTTTGAGGCGAATCTGGTGACTGGGATTGTGGTGGAGCTGAAAAGCTGGGCGTCGTTACAGGTGGCTCTGTAGATTGCGTTAAGGTCGATGATGGAACAAACTGTTACTCATCGATGAACGCAGGCTTGACGCGATCTATTGAGACAGTATCCCTTTTACCCCCACGGTCAATCACCAAAATTTTTGAAGACCGTTTAATAACATGGTATGGACCTGTGTAAGGTGCGGAGAGAGGCTGTCTCACTTGGTCGACACGTAAGAATACGTGAGAACATGTAGAAAGGTCTTTCGGAACGTGCACTGGAGTGCGTTGTTCCCTGGGTCTCGCGGGATGCAGCTGACGCATGTGGTGCGTCAGACGAGCTATGTAGCTATTGTAGTTCCATGCCCTCTCCGGGGTTGGGGCGACTAATTGTCCAGGGAGACGCAATGTGCAGCCATAGACGAGTTCAGCCGGAGCAGCGTTAATGTCGGTTTTGACAGTATTTCGTAAGCCAAGTAAAACGGCGGGAAGCGCTTCGTACCAGTCTGCGTTATCATGTGCACATAGTGCAGCTTTCAGCTGGCGGTGAAAACGCTCAACCATGCCATTGGCGGCAGGGTGGAATGCAGTCGTTTGGACGTGACGGCAGCCGAGGGTCTGAAGAAGGTGAGCAAATTTGCCTGCGAAATGCGAACCTCGGTCAGTTGTCACAACCGCAGGACAACCAAAGTGTGAGATCCAGCGCTCTAGAAAAGCGCGAGCGACAGTGTCTGATGAGCAATCTGGCATTGGGATGGCATCAGGCCATCTTGTAAAGCGGTCTATACAAGTCAGCAAGTAAGCGCATCCATTAGATGGGGGCAGTGGCCCAACAAGGTCAACATGGATATGGTGAAAACGGGCATCAGGAAGTGGAAATGACCCAAGCGGACTTTTCGTGTGTCGATGAACCTTAGACGGTTGACAACTAAGGCACGTACGAGCCCACTGTCTAACGTCCCGGTTGACGTTGCGCCACACGAAGCGTTGTGTGACGAGCTTAACTGTGGCACGAATGTCTGGGTGTGATAAACTGTGAAGAATGTCAAACACAGTGCGTCGGAAAGCTTGGGGAACCACTGGTCGTGGTGAATTTTGCGAAACGTCTCAAAGTATGGTTCCATCCGAAGTAGGCAGTGGAACTGGTCGTATGTGCAAGGAGCTAGAATTACGAAGCTGATCTAGCTCTGGGTCGGTCTGTTGAGCGGCAGCCATTGCCGTTAGATCGATACCTTCAGCGGAAGTGATGGAGCTGACGCGAGAAAGAGCATCAGCGACGGAGTTCTGCACACCCGAGACGTGCCGTATGTCTGACGTAAACTGTGAGACATAGTCCAGGTGGCGTATCTCTCTCGGAGAGTATCGGTCGGATGACGAGTCGAGGGCGTAAACTAAAGGTTTGTGGTCAGTAAAGACGGTAAAGCTTCTGCCCTCTAGAAAAGGACGAAAATGACGGATGGCGAGGTAAACTGCCAGAAGTTCTTTCCCGAAGGTGCTGTAACGTGTCTCCGCTGGCTGCAACCGTTTCGAAAAGAAACCAAAGGTTGCCATGTATTGTCGACAGCCTGCTGAAGAACAGCACCAACGGCCTCGTCTGAGGCATCAGTGACGAGAGAAATTGGAGCAGATGGTACGGGATGTGCTAAGAGAGCAGCATCAGCGATTACGTCTTTAAGATTTGAGAAGGCTAATCGCGCGGACTTGGTAAAAACAAACGAACGTTGATTGCCCCGAAGCAAATCAGTCAAGGGCTGCATTATCCTAGCACAACACGGAATAAAGCGTCTATAGTAGTTAACTATCCCAAGGAAACGTTTAAGCTGTTTAAACGATGTAGGTTCAGGGAAATCTTTGATGGCGGTTACCTTCTGAGACAGTGGTTCAATCCCTGTAGCTGAGATGCGGTGACCTAGGAACTCGATCGACGATTTTCCTAGTTCGCACTTGCTAGGGTTCAAGGTAACGCCTCGATCAGATAAGCGTTTGAATAGAATACGCAGATGCTCTAAGTGTTGCGACTTAGAGGCGCTAGCTACTAGGATGTCATCCACGTAAGGATATGCGAAGTCCAGACCACGAGTAACGTCATGGATGAACCGCTGGAATGTTTGAGCAGCGTTTCTTAACCCGAAAGGCATTCGAAGGAACTCGAATAAACCAAAGGGTGTTATAACTGCAGTTTTGGGGATATCGCAGTCCTCTACAGGAATCTGGTGATATGCTCGCGTCAGGTCTATCTTACTAAACACTGACTTACCACCGAGACTACTTGTAAGGGATCATCCAATGATCCCATGATCCAATGATCATGGGATCATTGGATGATAGAGAGCAGAAGGAAGATCCTTTGTCAGCTCCTTCACTTCCCGGTCATTGCGGAGATGGCGTGAGTCATTGCGGCAGAAGGTTCCGCAGTGCACCATTGTAGCTGTCTTAGAGGCAGCAGAGTCTTAGCGTGCTCAAGTGAGAATCTAACAGTTGTTTGACACGTTCCTCTGCCTCAGCATCAACAACAGGATCCGGCAACCGGTTCCAATCATTCACCACGCTAGTTCATAAGGCCAAATTGGGCCGCACACGGAGATTTCTCGGTCCGAACAGTTTCATGCGGTGGCCTAGTGTCGAACTCTCAGTGTTGAGTTGAAAGAAGTCCTGTAACTCGCAACCCAGTTCTCCTCCGAGAATACGTCGAGTGAATATCAAACCTCCTCGGTGACGGCGGTAACCTAGAGAACAAGTTCAGTCGTTGAAGTCGGTATGGATACGACAGGTCTCGAAACTCAGGGACGGACTTGGATCCACGCCATTGAAACTTCTCCATCATATCACATTCGGATTTGGTGAGAGGGTAGGCAGCGGGTAGCTCGTATTCGGGAATCGGGCTTACATGCGGGCCAAAATGGAGTCGGAAAAGTCCCGAGGTCAGGAGAGAAAACCCTCTACGTATTGAATAGAACATCCTGTAGTCCGCGGCGACCCTCTTCTGGATGTCTTGAATAGATTTGAGGTCTGATGACACTATCACTCCAAGGCCCCTCTCTTGGGTTGCGCTTCTGAGCATGGAACCACCAATGTGGTAAGTTTCAAATGGGTTAGAAGAGCCAAGGGGGAGAACAAAGCATTTGTCACGATCTACGGGCAACTACCACTTAATCAACCAATCATGAAGTATATCGAGCTTAGTTTGTAATCTGTCCGCGTCTTCAAGGCTGGATACTTCCATCCATAGCTTTAGGTCGTCAGCGTAGATTAGGCAATCCGTCTGAAGAGTGGATGGTAAGTCGTTGATGAAGATGTTGAAAAGTATGGGACCGAGGACAGAGCCCTGTGGGACTCCAGTCGTCAGGAGAACAGGAGCAGAAAATGTGTCATTCACCTTCACTTGCATAGAGCGGTTGTTTAGGAAGTCGGAGATCCAAGACAGGAGGTTTCCAGAAATACCGATTCCTTATAGCTTAAACAGAAGGCGTTCATGCGGGACATTGTCAAAAGCTTTGCTGAAGTCAACAAGCACAACGTCCAAGCGTTTGACGGAGTCTAACGACTTTGCCCAGGTCTCCTTAGCAACGAGCAAGTTCGAGGTACAGGAGCGTGCTCTTCGGAACCCATGCTGGGCATAAGAAATGACATTCTGTCCCCCAAGATGAAGAGTAACAGCTTGTTTTAGGATCCGTTCCATAACTTTACACATTATTGACGTCAAACAGATTGGACGATAATTGGCCGGATCATGTCGACTTCCTCCTTTGTAAATGGGTTTGACGATACCCACTTTCCAAGCTGAAGGAAGACGGCCAGCTTCTAGTGGGCGATGAAAGATTTGACATATGGGTGAAGCTATGTACTCCGCCACAGTCCTGAGGAACAAAGGATGCAATCCATCAGGGCCGGGTTAGCTATGCGGATATAACTGAAGAAGAAGTTTCATCACAGAATCAGTGTTAATATCTACTTGGGCCAACGAAGATGAAAAGGTGGATACGGCTCTGTCACTAAATGGTGTTTCTTTCGCGTAAACAGTAGCGTATTGCTTAGCCAAGTGACTAGCTTTCTCAGCATCCTCATGAAGTAAAGCTTGATGATCACAGGAACACAAAGCAGGGATGCCATTACCAGCTCTAGTGCTTCTTTTCAAATAATAGAGCATTTTAGGCGCGATTCTGGAGTGTTTTGTCAAGGATAGTTCGTATTGTTGGCGTTTCTGGCGCTTCATTGCGACGCAAACATTTCTGACAGTCTTGTAGTGAGAGAAGTCGAGTTCTGAATGAGATTGCCTAAAGCGGCCCCACAGTTTGCGCCTTCTATTCATAGTTGACCTAACTCTCGATCTATCCAAGGTGGACCTCTAGCGAAGGGCTTTCGATGGAAGGAACGACCTGCTCAATTAACATCATTTTGGAAAGTACAAGATTCCACACGTCGTCGAGGTGAATGTGTTCAGGGATACCCCAATCCGTAGTGCTTGCGGCCGTTTTCAGACGGAGTGGGTCGGTACGCCAAAAATTCCGACGGTGACCA